AGCAACGTTTTTAATATATCTATATATCTGTGACTATTTGTCAGTTTAAATTTGATACAGGTACTTACATGTGATACTGCTCTTTTTATTGGAGAACATAACATATTTGACTTGTTTGTGGTATCAGTTTAGACTTGTTTAGATCTTAGATTTTTTTATGTCTCATATGATTGTTGTTAGGACCAAGAGTAGGTCCGTCATCAAAGAGATCGAGTGGGTCGTTTTCAATAGCATCACTACCACTACTAAAATCAACCCACTCCACTGATTTTTAAGTGTATGAGATTTGATGACTATATTTTGAAGGATTTTAACGCGACGTCTTTCCGCTGCTGCACCTCTCTCAGGAACCTGATTGCTGACACTTAAAAATATGAGGTAAAACACCCTTTCTGAGCCTTACGTTTCCGCTCATCATCTTCCTCTCTATATAGTTTTCCATATCAGTTTCAAGCTGGAATAAAAAAAAACAATACTATTATATTCTCTTTCATCTTTATCTGCTTTAAACATTTTCTAAATGTTTTTTTGCAAGACCCAGTATATCAAATATTAATAAAAATCTCTATTTTCTTATTTATGCCCTAAGAAATCGATGTTTCTATACTGTTTACCTACAAATTTCTATATTATTAAAAATACCAGGAATCACAGTTTACATAATACTAAAAGATAGTTTGTATTTGTAATAAAATACATATTAGGTATGGAAAATCCATCTGATCTTCAATGGCTTTTACAAGGACTATGGTTCATATTAATATTTAAATAAAATAGAGTACCTGTCCCATTGTTTCGGCTTTTGCTTTTTAAATGAATTTTTATAGATCTTTTATTGCAAGTACAAGTACGACTAAAAATACTACTGTAGTAATATATATCTTAATTAATTTGAAATTAACTAACCTTAAAATGATCTTCACAACAAAACCGATTACATGTACCTATTCGAAAGAACTTTGTTTATTTTAGTCTTTCTTCAATGCATTACAAAACTGTTTCCGTATTTTCTCTCCTTTTCGCACATGAATACTTTATTTTGAGCAGATATTTTGAATAACACAAACAAGGGCAAAGGAGTAATACTTACTACATAAACCTAACTCTATAGCAGGCGATCGGCGCCGATGACGTGGCGAACCGGCTTCGCCACTACAAGAAAAACGGGGAGCATGGCCTATTTATTCGAAGTTTTATAATTGATTGTGAAGTAACTATAAATTCTAGAGAAACCAACTAAATTGCTAAATTTAAGTTGGAAACTGCCCCTTTTTATAAAAAAAATAATCTAAATGTTTCCAAACTCATTGAGGGCATAGTGACAGTATCTTCCTGTATTTAATTTAATAAAATAATAGTTAAATAATTAAACAATCCTATTAAAATGACGATTCCACTGATGAAATATTAAACAATATAAAATAATGGACCAAAATCATAGTAAATATTTAAATAAAACACCTACAAACAAGCACTTTCCCACTACTACTCTATGACGTATTATTAATGAAACACTTTATATAAAATACTAAAATTTGTAAGGATTAAATAGATATTTATTCAATACAATTTTCTACATAAAATATCTTTATTTCAATCTAAAATTGTCCCCAAAAAAAAAGACATACCGTTCAATTCCTATCCATTATATTGTATTTCAGAAATTACTAATGTTGTTATCTTGACGATTTCAAAAAAGAGTAATTAATTACAATTCTTTCTAAACAATTACAGCAAAAATAATACCTTCCCCTAAAGTCTTAAACGATTAACTGCAATTTGCCACTGGGTATGTGACGGTATGATTTTCATTTATCTAAATAAAACAGCTCCCGGTCAACGCGTCACCCCTTTAAAGGAGACCATTTTTGATTTTAGAAACAAGAGGAAGAAAAAGAGGTGCGCAAGAAACGCGAAGAAAAAGAAAAGGACAAGTCGTCGCGAGACAGGGACAGATCTCTATCTCATTCGCCCAGTCCTGCAAGAAAGAAGGACAAAGAGGAGAGGAAAAGGCGGCGATCAAGGTCCAGGTAATTCTTTTCTTCTTTTGAAATACGGGGATAAATTGGAAAAAACTAATTTTTGGGGAAAATTGTATTCACTTCTTAGTCATTTCAATTCTAAAAAAAAATATATATATATGAACGATTGAAACCTTCGAAATATCTATTTAGTTTTGATTTCTGTAAGTGATTCGGTAACTGGGAGAAATCGGACGGAACTAATTTTGCATTAAATGTGTGATCTATCGATCTATCATCGTATACTTTCCGATCACGCTAACAATAAATAATGACGGCTCTAAAATTGAGCTCTAAGGAACTACCGAAGTTAGTTTGCATCATAATTTCGACATTATTCATTTTTATTCTGTAAAATAAATAAGAAAATTTATATTCAAAATTTTATTTTAGAAAGAAAAAGCTCACGGTGGAGTAAGTAGACAAGAATGTAATGACTTACCGTTAAATTATTAGCCACGCCATGTCCTACAGCCCGAAATCGAATTAGAAGCGAATTTTCTCCCTTTTCCGACTTAATTATTCACTTTTTTATTTCCAGGTCCCACGAAAAGAGCAGAGAGAGAGATAGAGATCGCGATAGGGAGCGCGAAAAAGAACGCGAACGCGACAGGGAGCGCGAGCGCGAAAAGGAGAAAGAGCGCGAGAGGGAACGGGAGCAGCGGGAACGCGAACGAGACAGGGACAGAGAACGCGATCGCGACAGGGATCGCGAGCGGGAACGTGAACGGGACAAGGAACGGGAACGCGATCATCGCGACGATCGCCGCAGCTCGAGAGATCTCTTGAAGGAGAAAGAGATGGAGGACGAAGCGAAAGAGAAGAAAAAAGCCGAACGGAGGGCTAGAGAAAAGGAGGCCGCCTATCAGGAGAGATTAAGGTAATAAATTGTTATCCTGGAAGCTGGGTCAATCGTTCTAAACCGTTTAATTATTAGGGCTTGGGAAACTAGAGAAAGGCGCAAAGCTAAAGAGTACGAGAAAGAACGGGAGAAGGAACGATTGAAGGAGGAGGAAAGAGAACACGATGCCAAACGGTTAAAAGAGTTCCTCGAAGATTACGATGACGAAAGGGACGATATTAAATATTACAAGTAAGATTCTTCGCTAGCCATCAAGTTCCGACAGTTTTTATTTTTCGTTTGTTTCAGGGGAAGGGAGCTTCAAAAAAGGGTGGCGGAGCGTTTGAAAGAAGCCGAAATGGACAATAGAGATCGATTAAAAGAAAAGGAGGAAATAGAAGAGTTAAAAAATAGGATATTCTCCGGCGAACATGAAGATCCGAACGCGGAATTCGAAAGGGTAAGTGAAGTATTACGCCCTGTAATATCGGAACTAAATTTTATTTTTTATTTAAGGCGAAGAGGGAGCGAGAAGAACAATATAAGCCAAAATTGCTGATCGACGTCAATTTAGAACATTGGAAACAAAAGGAACGCGAGAAAGAGCGGGAAATGGAGAGGCAGAAGGCACGCGAACGGGAAAGAATGCGGGAATTGGACAGAGAACGGGATAGGCAACGAAAACGGGAAGAACGCGAAAAGTAAATTAACAAATACCGTTAAATATTCGTTAATTTAAAATTATTTTTTTAAGGTATATAATGGAACAAGCAGCTCAAGAACTAGCAGCTGTTGAAGCCGAACCGATAGACAGCGATAGTGATATAGAAGCTGAAATCCATTACAGTCCTGCCCCTCCAGAGCCTGAAAGCGCTTCCATGGACAATTCCAATTCTGCTCAGGTACGACATCTCGCTTAATGGAGTAAATCCAGATCGCTAATTCGCTTCGAAGAAAAAAAAATCTACGTAGAACCAAATAAAACCTATATGGTTGTGTTCCTTATATAATTTTTCACATGAATCTTTGATTTACGACATTTGCGGTCTATATAAAACTTTTTTATTTTTAAAAAATGTTTAATTTATATATGTTAAAAACCAACTGTTTCCTAAAAATGTCAAATTTCATATTATAGTTAGTGGAAAACACATCTATGTAGGTTTCATTTAGTTAAATATTTTTTTACAATTGAAAGCAGATTTTATTCAACTAGTTCTATAAATCATCCCTAGTTTCAAAATTGAATATTTGTTTTTTTATTTTAGTGGACGCAAGTTCAGGCGCCCGACGAAGACTCCAAACATTCGTTCATATCAAATCATGACGACCACGTCGCTCCGCCCACCGGTACGGGAATGAAAATCACCCTGGCCAAACCTATTACCTTACAATCGCCCACTAGAGACTCGAAACGTAGAAAATCCGATCTCAGAGAGGTGTTTAATCCGGACGAAGATGATAGTAATACTCAGGTTAAGAAACGAAAATTAGTACCGCTAGGTCAGTCTCTATTTTTTTTTTATCCATTGTATTGTATTATACAGAGTATTACGTAAACCAATGTCGTCCTAAGATAGATTTGAACTGGTTATTAAGAGTTATTCATTTTGTTCATAATTTAAAAGCGTTTAGTAGTTCATTTTTTCCTTTTAGTTAAAACATATCAACCCATTTAGTTATTTCCATAGCATATTCTTGAAGTTACAGGAATATTTTTTCCACAATTGTTGGTATTTTAAATCTACAGTACTTATTATTTTGTATTAGGCATAGCCATGCTTTTACAGCGAACATGTGGCAACTACCATATCCCCGCTATCGCTATGCTCTCAGTTTGGCTAATATCCCACCACCATATCTTCTTTTTTCTTAGTAATTTAAGTAATCAATCAAATGTATTAATTACTTTATTTGATCCAAAGTAGTTCAAATGTAACGTCATTTTATTCCTTACCTTCATAGTAGTTACAACTGATTTTTTTACATTATTTTGGTAGTAATTCAAACATAAAATTAATTTTTAACGTGATGTATATATACTAATTGAATGAATTTCAGATTATAACGAAGATAAGAAATCGAAAAAGGAGAGTAAAGAGAACGGCGAGAAGAAATTGGACGAATCGAAATCTCAGGAAGAGAAGCGGAAAAATATAAAATCTCTAATAGAAAAAATACCGACGGAAAAGGACGCTTTATTCACGTATCACCTAGATTGGAGTGCCATCGACAACGTACTAATGGAAAAAAAGATCCGGCCCTGGATCAATAAGAAAATCATCGAATACATCGGCGAGCCCGAACCGACGCTTGTAGATTTTATTTGTTCAAAAGTATTAGCCGGATCGCAGCCACAAGTCATCCTGGAAGATGTACAAATGGTAAGACCGTCCAGATCACTTGATTTCAAATATTACAAATTGTTTTTCTTTTCAGGTGTTGGACGAAGAGGCCGAAGTATTCGTTGTGAAAATGTGGAGGTTATTAATTTACGAGGTCGAAGCGAAAAAATTAGGATTAGGAAAATAATATGAAATGGACAATTTTTTTACTTGTGTATATACAGACTTTGTTTTTAATTTTAAGTTCTTAAATTTGTCATACATCAAATACATGATAGAATTTAAAATAATTATTTTATAATACATATTTTTGTATGTTCTGTTATCCATCCGTTTTACATGAATTTGCATTGTATTTATCAAGTGATTGATTGATTGATTAATAAAAGAATATGTTGGATATCTTAAGGGCGTTTGGGTAAGTTTTATTAATATTTGACTTTTAAAACATTCTGTACAGTGTGGAATAAATAAATGGGGGCGTGTTCGGAAAAACGCTCGGACATGTCGATTGGTATTTTTAGTTGCGCATTTTTTTAACAGAAACTTTTAATACAGGGTTTGTCATGTAACAGTGGCCAATATCACTTTTCCTTATTTTAAATGCAACACCCTGTATATTTTAAAATTTTTGAATTTTTCAGAAAATTCTAGAGGACATTTTATGTACCTCTGTACCTTTTATGTACCTATCCTATGCCTAACTGTTTCGGAAATATTAAAACCTAGCTGACTTAAGAAGACGAATAACGCTTGCGATTAGATCGGTCACTCCTGAGATGTTGAATAAGACATTTTTATTTCAGATTAGGATGTTACCAAGAGGTTCGCCGCAAGCATTTTGAACATATACATGTTAGTAGTGAGTCTATACAGGTACATGGTTGTTTTAACAAAAAACTATTTTTCACTGGTAAAAACGTAAAAGTTTAAAATTTTTTATATTTACTTGTAGATTAAGTGACCTGCATTGTGATGAACTAATTTTCTCTAAAAAATTGAGGATTTAACTAATTAATATATCGCACCCTGTTTCAATAGTGCCATAACCTTATAAATGTTAATTTTACAGGAGAAGCGAAACAAAAACGATTGTAGATGTAATATTTTTTTGAGCAGCATTGGCTACGGAAATTGATTTACTTAAGGGCAATATTAGAGGATTGGAAAATGATAAACTAAATTTAACTGAGCTTGAACAAACAAGTCCAGGACCTGTCCTCTTAATCACCAACGCGTGATGTTGAAGCTGTTGGTGACATTGATTCAGTGCTTGATGAAGTCTCCAACAGGGAAACAAGGAAGAAAAATATAATTATATTTAATATCAAGCAAAATGAAGCAGATGCTCCTTCTAATAATGACCTAGTTACAGCTAATAGAAATAGAATTTATTCATATTTGAGAATTATACACTATACAAAGACACTAAGTACATAATGTAAAATCCTATCAGACTAGTCAAAAAAGTGTTAAGTAAAATACATTAAAAAATAAAATATATTGTTAGAAGTTAAAAGAATTAACTTCAAAATTATAGTTTTTAAATGATTTAGCACCCTGTATAGCCACTTCATAAAACACGTGTTAACATGGTATTATAACGTTTTATTAAATATCTCGTAAACAATGTTTAAAATGTAATTAATTAAGGAACAAAATAAAGAATGTCTTTAACGGCATATTGCCTATCATTTCATAGCGTTCGGCTGGTCGAACGTTAAGTCCCCTCCTAATCCTGGACACTGCAACTGGTAGACGTGATATCGTCGACCCAAGTGGCAGCGATATCCTAATTCGCTGACTATAACAGACACTGCAACGGGTAGACGTGGTACCGTCGACAGGTATCCTAATTCGCTGACTCTAACAATATATAAGAGACAATTCATGTTAAGATTAGTAACATTTAATATCAATATATTTTGATGAATGCTGGCTTATTTGTAGTCGTGGAAAAGGTTGATGGATGTTAAATTTTAATCTAGTATCATATGAGTGCAGGTCTTTATTTTTCTTAAATATATGCTCATTATCTTTTATGTATAGAATTAGTTGAAAAATAAAAAGGGAAGGTAGTGTTAAAATTTGCGTTTTCTTGAAAGGTTTTTTACATGATGTTGGTGTCACCTTATACATGGCTCTCAGAACCTTCTTTTGAGATACAAAAGCTCTTTCAAAGTATTCTGAAGAACCCCAAAATATTAACCCATACTGTAGAGTTGAATGAACCAAACCAAAATAGCATAGTTTAAAAGTATCAAAAGATAGTGTCTCCCTTAAATTTTTGATGATATAACAACAAGTACTTAATTTTGAAGTTACCATTTTTATATGAGCTTCCCAATTTAATTTGGGATCTAATATTCCTAAAAATTTTATGTCATCAACGCTTTGAATAGTTTTTCCGTCAACGTGCAAGTAAGGTTCGTAATCTGGTAATATGTTTTTGGGTAGAAATTGCATGAAGTTTATTTTTGTTACATTTAATGCCACACACTGTATAAAAAGTTTTTGTTAAAAAAAAATGCCCAACTAAAAATACCAATCAACTTGCCCGAGCATTTTTATTCCATTTGGCTGTTCCACGGTGTATATTTAACATATCAGTGAGTGACAATGTCAATTTTAAGATAGTACTTTCGACCTACTAACAAGGGAATAAATAAAACTAGAAAACAAAACTTGTTAATATTTATTAAAATTAAATATAAAATGAAAAATTAAAATGAATTTGCGAAACTACAATGTGAAAATGTTAAGACTAGACTTTTATATACATAAAAATTCAATAAATACTAAGCAACATTCAAATTAGGCCCAATTATATAAATATTTATTTTTTATTCAGTTCCAAAGGCGTTTATTTGAACATCGTATGAACGAATTAATTAAAAAATAATTTCAACTTTAGATTTACACACAAATTTTAGTCAATCGCAGAAATTCGGCAGTGTCTAATGCTTTTCTTCAAACTATGTTGTACTTTGACAACGACGTACGCGTCTGGTTTGCAAGAAAAACTGATCGCTTCATTCTAGTTGCGATATATCTCGAAAATGTAACGTTTTTGTGTCTTTAAAATTCTAAATGTTAAAATAGGGTTGTCCATCTGGTAAATCCTGCAACATTCCAATGTTTAAATTGTACCCCAGTACAATTTAAACGATTCACATTGTCATTTTTTATATTGAAAACATTGCTTTTTATGAATTTCTTGCACTTTTTTAACGTTCGGATGACATTTTTAAATAAGACACGATTTTTATTCTACATTATGTCCTCCCCTGCTTAACTTATTATATATTTAAAACTTTGTGAGTCGCTTCATGTTTATGGGCCTATTACACTTTTCCTCTGATGAATATTCAATGCATATCTCAATTGCATACTCCTATTGTTGCAGTAGATAGACGCGATTCCCGTCTAATCCGACATTTAATTACTATTTGGGAAAAGTGTAATAGATTCGTTAAAATGAAGCAACTCACGGTGTTTTATATATGTGGCAATCAAGCAAGGCAGAGATAAACATAATGTAGACTCTTTAGTTGGCACTAGATTTGTTGAATACAGTTTTAAATAAAATAAATGCATTAATACATCAACAAAATGTGTCAACACATACAGCGCTAGTCTAATATCAATGACCGTCTAGTAAATGATAAACAAAAAACCACCATTAATTTACCATTTGCATAAAAATGGCAGGACAGATTGTATACGATCCAAAATTGCTTAGAGTGTTAAGTAAAGTTTAATAAAATGTATATCGCTACCAACAAGCTGCATTAAAATTATTGAACAGTAGAATTTTATAGATTTATTATTAAAATTTTGGACCTTACGATAGATTTGAGTTAATGTTAAAGTTATTTTGAATTCTAGAATCTATCCTGCGAACATATATAAAATCAAAAAAATTCATCTTTGATAAAATAAAATAAAACTGTATGAGTCAAAATAATAAACTGACTCAAGTCAACCGAAAGTTTGAGAATTTCACTAACGACACACATAACTTCTTTTTTTATGAATTTCAATAGTCCTTTTTTATTTATGATAATAATATATGTCAAATATCATTTAGAGAGGGGACGTGGATCCTTCCGAGCATGTTGAATCTTGTCTGTAACTAAGTGAATGTTGTAACGCCATCGGCATCAGCCATTCTTTAGGCAGACATCTTTCTAAGAAAGGGACCCACCTACTGAAGTATGCCAGTCTGTTGATCCAAGGAGGGATGTCATTTCCGCTTAATATCTACAATAAACAATGAATTCGTAAAAATTTAATCATAATTCATAATAATAATAATAATAAGTAACTACTCTGGTGAAACATTTTAAGATACCTAAATCAAATAGTAAAAGTTCAAAAATATGTATTTAGTGAAGAAAAAAAATGTAACATAATAATAATTACATTTACTATCACTTTTACTATTTATATCCATTTTTATTTTTCTTCAAGCAGCAAAATGAGAAATAGTTGCTAGTTGCTGAAGAAACAAATCTTTGTATACGACGAAAAGCAAATTTTCTTGAATGCAGTTCATTTGCTTCGAAGGAATACTGAACCCTACCAATTGAAACATATGTCGTATGTATAAAGTCAATAAAAGATATACAGGGTGTTTCATTGGTAAACGGGCAAACGAAAACTATGGTTAAGGGTCACCAAGATGGTTCCAAAAAACCTATGATTAATGGGCCTATCTATGAAGAGTAGAGAGAAGGAGGCGAATCGGCAATGGTCGAATTTCAAATTTTCGCCCTTCTTTTTATAAAGTTCGTGAAATTGACTGTAGTTGGCATGTCGAATAATAGCGGTGTCAATTTTCTATGGAACTCAATGTAAAATGGAGTGATTTTTTTAAAAAATTGAAAAGAATCAAACTAATGTGAAAAAAAGTACCTGAGTACAAGTAACACGAGTGACAAAAAACATCAAAGCAAGATTTACGTCGTTCCAGATTGTAAAACAAGATACAAATCACATGTAAAACTAAAGAAAATAAAAGGAGAAATCAATTCAATGTCTTTTTAAAGCTTCTAATGTAAGTAAAATAATGTATTTATGTTTAAATATAATATTTATTGCAAACTAGTCACAGTATGTAACTTACGGAGTGTAGTTTATTTTATTACAAGTTACTATAATATAAAATTTTACAGTCATAGATCCTGACTTACAAACAACAATAATTTTATATTAAATTTAACTTACTAGAAAAAAAATTATTTTTTATAGTTTTAATGTTAGATAAAGAGTTACTGTTCTTTTTTTGTTGAACCCCAATTGTGTCATTGTAAGTAAACGTTTTTTATAGGATACTAAACGCTTAGAACAGTGGCAGCATACATATCGTTCCTAGTGCCAATAATGCACTTTCTAGAGATGATGCTGTTCTATACTTTTTAGAAGATAATATCAAATATTATGAAACTATTTGTACTGATGGTACTGTTAGCAAAATAAAAAGGGGAAAGCTGAAATTAAAGGATGAGGTAATACCATGTACATTCTCAAATCACCCTTTATACTTGTATTACAACAATAAAAAATCTGTTAACTGTGTTTTATTCTGTGCTTAAAACTAAAAATAGATTTAATTAAAAAAAAATTTACCACAAAATTGTACTTATCAAATTTCAGCACTTAACAAACCTTTTCGAATTTGGTTATACCTACCTAATTTGTATTTTATGTAGATACAATTAAATAATTTATTAATTAAAACTTGCAAGACTTGTTTAGAAATAAATACAACAGTATGTTCTGTGCTTTATTTAGCTATAAACAAGTTTATTTTTATTATTTTGACAACAAAAGTATGTATAATTCCCATAAGAAGAAATGTATTTTGAACACCGTAAGCAGTACTAGCACCCATGCAGTTAATTATAAAAGATCAATTAGCGTTTTTTGGGACCTTATTTTGAGTCTCCATAAATGGGCCTTACGTCATTAATAACAGAGATACAAGATGTTTTATGGAGTTGGTTCATTTCTTTCGAAAATCATAACTAACGAACTACCCAGTATATTCTTTGTAAAATTGGTTTACTTGTTTCCCATTCACTGCCAAAACTTCTAACGTAATAGCCAGAAGAAAAATCCAGGTCCTTATTAACAAAAATTTTGTGTCGTTCAAACAACAGTGCAAATCAAAATTTTCAAAATCTGTTTTGATATTTAAAAAAAAGACAATGTAATTTTTACAGTTCCGCGTCGGATTTAACAGGTGACATTTTAATCTAAAATTTACATTTTTTTTATTAAGACTGGTTGATAACATTTCAAAAAGTTTATTTTTGTTATTAAATTAAGAAAATAATTTATTGTAATCTATTGAAACTTGTAAAATAGGTGTTTGTGTATATCATTAAACTCGAAAAGTGTCAGTGTAGGTCCGGTTTTAGAACAAAATATTACATTTTCGATTATTTTTTTAATATCCCAAAAACATTTTTAAAAATATTTTGAATTAACCAACCACCTGATAATTGATAGAAGATTCTAGTATTAGCTAGGTACATATTAATTCACAATAAAAACGTGCATTTACAAAAAGTTAATTTAAAGGGACAGTTTTTTTTTTATAATTTTGGTTAAACAGGTATAAATAAAATTGACCATTCACTGTTGGGTTCTAATTAACAGTGCTGTTCCTAAAGTGGCGCTGGGAAAGAGTAACAAAGCCTACACAGAACACGAGGCGAAATAACCCTGGTAGTTGAAGCCGATAACAAAAAAAAGAAAGACCATGATCAACTCTTGGTGTATTTACATTTTTCTCCATTATTTACAATACTGTATTTTGATTCCTTTTCATTTATTACGAGCTTTCTTTTTAAGGGGTTAATGTTCTTGGTGTGAAACCCTATAACGTCAAAATAGCACGGCTGACAACGGTCTACAATTGACAAGATAAGAATTCTGTGCATCCGCTATAGGGCAAGTGCTTGGGGACAAGGGAGAACTGGTGGGACTTGCTCCAGATCAACAAGCACCGTTAAAAAAGAACGTTCAGTTAAAATAAACAGGTCTAGTGCTGCTCGCGAGTAATCCAGATGGCATAAAAGAAAGCACTCATTGGGGGTTGTACAAGCTAAAAATCAAGTAGGCAAAATTGTCAATTTATTTGACAGCTTGTGTTTTTATTAGGCATTCCAACGGTCAATGATACATATATAGTTATATAGATTGCTCGAAGCGGGTCGTTTACGAGCGGCCATCGCAAGTGCTCATTAATCAGAATCGATTTTGTAAAAATGTGTTTACAAACCAATATTTAGCCTTTTAGTATAAGCGTATGTTTATTTTGAAAAATATGGATGATCAATCTATGTAACTATCTATTTCATTGACCTTGTCAAATCACCAGGCCTACAGGGATGCCATAATTTTGCCATATCAAACACCCCATATATCTAAATAACCTTTGACAATTGATATTATACAGTGTCTACCAAAAATTTTGCAGCATGAGGATAACTATTTATTATACATGGTGGTGAACTATTATAATTGATAATAAATTATATATAAAATTAAATTTGGAAGACACAAATCCTGCAGAAAATATTAAAAACAGAAAAGTAGCTGAAAGAGATTTACAATCATAAAGTGCACCAAAGAGGTAAAATCAAGAATACTGTAATAATATGCGCAATTGAGGGGTTTATTTTCAAAGCGTACAAGCTCCAAATGAGCACATTTTACAGGAATCTCCAAAAATGTAATTAATAATATAGTCACACAAGTAAGTAAGCAAGTAATTTTCAAGTAAAAAATATTAAATAGGAATAAATATCAGTAAAGAGTACAAAAAAAAATACATCCAATTTGAAAAATATTTATCTTAAAATATCCTGGCCTTCAGATAAATGATAAAAACATGACCCAGCTTAAAGGTTCATACTTCTCTTCAGAATTAATGATATCAGGAAGTTGATTATAAAATTTAATTCCAACATATTCAGGCGATTTCTCAAATAATGTGAATGTCTTGGAGTTCTGAATAACTCTATTATTTAAATAAGATGACAACCAAGACAAAAAGTTACCTCTAAAACCAAGCCCTTCCAGGTTGATTGAATCAAACGCCTTTGATAAATCAAAAGTGTACTCTCAAACAACTTTTAATTAAGTATGTATGTATGAAATTGCTGCTCTTTCAATAGAAGGTATCCATTTTAATTTTTGCAAATAAAATTGTACACTTTGGAACTAATTTCATATAATTTAGTCACTTTATTTAGTTATGAAAAGTTAAATTTTCTACACTAAAAAGCATAAGTTATTGTACATTAAAATAATGCTGTATTTGAACTTAGTAGGGAAGGAACTATGTAAAAACAAACTTTACCATAAATTCTTTAAAATTGGAAATTGTACACTTTAAAACTATAGCCCTCATTATAGCATTTGTAAAATACAATGAAAGTAAAACTAGTAGGTAGTATGAGCAAAATCTGATAATAAGACAAAAATAAGGTTAGTGGATACTCTGAAAGAAATGAAAATAATTCTTGCAATATTTACTTTTATTGTGTCAAAATTTGGATTTTACTTTTGAATAAAAAATAATTCACATACTAAGTAAATAATATTGATAAATAAAATAAAAAACTTACTTTACAAAAGGCTCCAGAAAAATGATTGCAATTATTGTTCATAAGGTGATACCTGTTGCCTCTAAATTCATTTCCCAGTTCATTAATAATTATTTTTACATCTCCCTCTTTAAAATCTGTATATCCTATGTGAATTGTTTGTCTATAATAATAAAAAAATTAGATAAAGAAATCACATTAATGGGGGTAATAAGTACCTAAATTTGAACTGGTCTCCTAATTCTTTTTCATCTCTTGGTATATTTTCAAAAATACCAGTAAATGAATATTGGTGCCCTCCATATGCATATTCTGTTCCATATATTTCAACACCTATAACAAATTTAGATATTTGCATTAAAATAGAAAGGTTAAATTAAAAGATAACAAAAATAATAAAAGTTGTTTATTAAAGATAAGCACATAAATTTACAACATTCTTGCATAGTAAGCAAACATATGTTTCTCAATTCAATAAGCTACATTTTATAAACTTAAAGGCAATAAATTAGAATATCAAAGGTGATAATCTATATAAGCAATTTTAAAACAGCATACTAACCAGAATGAAATACACCTATTCCAATGTTGCTAGTAAATTCATTAATTTTGTACATGTCATAAACGTTTAATAACACAGGTTCCCGAGACATTTTACTTGGAAGTAGCTCATCGGAACCAGTGTCTCTAACGCTCATACAACTGAAAGGTAAGTTGCAGGTCAAACCATTTGAAAACATGCTAAAAATACAATTATTATAGTTTAAAATAGAACTGTAGAGGATGGTGCTTACTCTTTATTTATAAATTATTGAACGAAGTCTACTTAATTAATTGTGTTGTTATTTCATTACAAATTATTCACTTGTTAATTTTGTATATATATTTTGGATTAATTATTATTTTACCAGGTTATATTTCCATTGTGATACAAACACAAACAACAACAGTGGATGGTGACAAACTTGACATTTTAATTAATTAACTGAAATTCTTATAATAATAAAGGCCACTACATTTTTTATACCTATAGGTGTATTGTATTATTCAGCATATAAGTCACCTAAATTTTAGCTGTATTGTGTCTACATAAAAACCAATCTTCTTTAATACAATTTTGCCTTTTACTTATCATTGTTTTCAGTAAAAGAGTCTTTTACTTTTCTGTTATTTGGAATTCCGTTGCTGGTTGTTTTTATATAGAAAAAGAAGAATCTTCTCTTCTTATGCTTTTTTTTTTAGGTTTATAAATTGGTCTTGAGCTTCGAGGCACTTCGGTCTGGCCCTGGTATTTTCAATTTTCAGTTCAAGTTCAAATTTTAACCATGCATTAAAATTGATTAAAATAAAAAAATAAGGTTAAAAATAAAAATATAATAAATAGAGAATAACGAAAATATGGACATAACTGTGAACTATAAAGGAGGAGGTTCATTTGTAAAACTTCCTCCACAATTTTCTTATGATGGCCAGTAGGTGTAATCTTTAATAATACATATTTAAATACATATTTATATAATTTTGTTACAGGACCATTTTTGTGTGCTCGAAGAACTCTATTTTGGAATATAATACCAAAACTGCCAAACTCATACATGAATATAAAACTAAAGAAAGAGTAGTTGGATTTAGTTATCATGTTTATGAATCCTTTAACTGTATAACGGCTTGTTGCCAAAATGGTAAAATAAGTACCTGGAAATTAATCACACACTCTAAAATATCAGAAAGGGTAAATAATTAGTTTTAATTATTCATTAAATATATATAATTACTGTACCGATTTACAAATCAAGCAACAAATCAAATGTAACTAATTATAGACCAATATGCATTCAAAGTGTGATTCCTAAACTCTTTGATAGTATTATTACAAAGTATTTATCGAAACTGCTTGATCCTTTCATCATAGATCAGCAGTTTGGTTTCCGTTCCAAAAAGTCCACTGAACTTAACCTGTTGTCTTATGTTGATTACTTATCGAATGCCTTGGATTTTAATGATCAAGTTCATGCTATATACACTGATTTTTCAAAGGCATTCGACAGGGTTAACCACAGTTGCTTGATTGGAAAGCTTAGTAACATTGGCATTGGTGGTAAATCTTCTGAAATGGATCCATTGCTTTATAACAAACCTCATTCAAATTGTTCGTGTTTCTGGCTTCTTATCCTCTGGCTTTACCGCTACATCTGGTGTCCCTCAAGGGTCACATTTGGTACCTCTACTTTTTAATATATATATAACAATGACATCCAAAATTGTTTTAAGAATTTTCTTGCTTTGCTGATGATTTAAAATTATTCATGTGTGTAAATTCCTTACATGTTTGTATTTGCCTTCAAAAAGACTTGGATAACTTGGTCCAATGGTGTAGTACTAATGGAATGGAATTAAATACAAGTAAATGTCATGCAATCAATTTCAACAGAAAACATAGTCCTATTGAATATATCTATAAAATCAATGACATAACACTGGATACTGTTACAGAGGTAAAAGATTTGGGTGTGATATTAGATTCCACCCTTTCTTTTCAAACTCATATTATGGCCTCAGTTAATGAAGCATTAAGAATGTTGGGTTTTCTTAAAAGAACTACTTCTGATTTTCATAATGTGATGTGTTTAAAGATTCTTTATTGTGCCTTAGTTAGACCTTATATTGAATATGCTTCTTCTGTATGGAATCCTTTTTATGTATTCATAATATAAAATAGGTTCAAAGAAAATTGTTACGCATAGTTGCATTTGAGACCCTTCTGAGCAGAAGAAACCAAAGGGATCTTAAAATATTGTTTAACATTATTAACTCATCTGCCAATTGTCCCTACTTGTTATCCCAAATTGGATTTTCTGTACCCTCTAGAGTAACTAGGAATATTAATACATTCTCCCAACCTTTCCATAGAACAAATTATGGTTCTCACTCTTTTATTCCTAGTGCGACAAGATCTGCTAACAGACTAAATGTAGAATGGATTACTTCTCCATCAGATTTTTCTAACCATTTATGTATATGTGAGGAGTAGATTGTTAATTGTTTTTAATATTTATGTATTTAAATTAATTTATTATTATTTAGGATTTTATTACTATTTAATGTATTATCTGTAATTGTATTGTTTTAATGGGATCTGACCCATAAATAAATAAATAAATAATAAGATTTAAACTTTTTTAGGCACTTCCTGCTAGAAATATTAAAACTTTTCATATTGTTCCATCAGAAGAAGAACATTACAATGCAATATACTCTTATTTAAGGGATGATATTGTTCATTTTGCTTTATGGAATTCAGCAAGTAAAAAATTAAAATATAGAGACTACAAATTGAAACTAAAGAGTCCAGATCCTTATTTTCTTGCTATTGGTAATAACTTCTTTGTCGTTGGAGTGAAAAATGAAATTTATTTTATTAAAATGGATGATTTTCAATTTTTACAAAAGTAAGTTCTGTAAGGTAAAGGGGGCAAGTGTTACATTATGGGCCAACTGTATATGTAATGATGCAGGCATAAATAATAATAATAATAAGATTATTAAGTATTTTATATTTTTTTTTCAAGATGTTTTATTGGAAGCAATAGAAACTTCACTTGCCTAACTTGTCACCCAACAGAAGAAGTTATTCTGGCAGGAGACGATACTGGTAGAGTAGTAGCATGGCAAGATTTATTTTCGAAAAAGCCAAAACAAACTGTTTTCCACTGGCACACGCTCCCTGTGAATACTGTATCATTCTCAAATTCCGGTAGTTATTTCTACAGTGGTGGAGGGGAATCGGTACTTGTAAAATGGTTGTTTGAAAACGCAAGTGATAGAAGATTTGTACCACGTTTACCTGAAGAAATAACCCATATTCAAGTTGCTAGTAATAATCTATATATTGCCGTTGCGACCAATGATAATGCCGTTAGGATTTTGGATAATACATTGAATCAAGTCAGTTTAATTCAGCATTTGGTGTTAGCCAATCATTTTGACAGTGGGATTGTTCATGATTTGAGGTCTAGGTCTTTAATTATGAATGGAAATCAAGGTCATATCCAATTTTACTCACCAGATGATATGTCTTTGCTTTATAGCGTAAGTAATCATTTATACAGGGAGGTTTTGTCAATAAATGCTTTGATCTAAATTTAATTTTACAGAAACAAAATGTAAGTATTCTATGTGTTACTGAACATTGGCTTGATTCTAACAATTTACAAGCTACCTCAATTGACAATTTTAAGCTAGTATCATATTTTTCATGGATAAATAAAGAAAAAGGTGGTACTAGTATATTTATGAAAACAAGTATTGCTGAAAATTTTGAATCAATTAATTTACATAGGTGGTGTATAGAAGGTGAATTTGAAGTATGTGGTGGAAAAATAAAGATCGATTCTAAACTTTTTTTATTTATTATTACTGTGTGTAAGCCACCTTGTACTAAGTTTAGCACTTTTATAAATCAGCTAGAGCTATTAATTCATAATATTTATCAAAACGATACTCACTATTTTATCTGAGGTGATATTAACATAGATTTTTTGATTGAAGGTAATCAAAAAACTGTTTTAATTGACTTATTAAAGTAATTTAATATTAAACATCATATAAATGTTGCAACGAGAACAACAAGTACAACCTCAACTTGTTTAGATAATTTTTTTTAACAATTTTGATGTAGATAAGTTGGGTGTATATGATACTTTTTTGTCTGATCATAACTACTTATTATGTTCGATTAAACTACCTAATTTTGAAAATAACGAATTTAAATACAGATATAAACGAGATTTAAGTGATCCTAACGCAATAACTTATATAAATATTTTATCAGTTGAAAATTGGCGTGAAGTATACACATCTACTAATTTTAATGATAAATTTTCTATCTTTTATGAATCCTTCCTATACCACTACAATATTGTATTTACGAAAACCACAAAAATTAAAAAATCAGTTTCCACCTCATATTAGAGAGTTACATAATCTATTATGTGAAATGAACAGGTTAAAGAAAGAAATAAATTCTACATATTATACAGAACGTTACAATAATTTAAAAAAAAGAGTATCAAAAAATAACAAAACAATATTTGAGAAGAAAAAATAATGGTATTTTAAAAAGTAATAACATAATGAAAGAATCCTGGAATATAATAAATGAGAGTAGGGGAAAAAGAAAAATCCTATTAAACTTACAAATGATGACAAATTAACACCCTTAGAAATTATATCAATGACTATTTGATTAATGTAAATAAAAATAATATTGTACCTATACTATGCATGAGTATTGATAAACATCATAAAATTTTTTTTCTTTTTCTAACAACACCTAGTGAAATCATCACTATAATCAAAAAAACTACTTCTAAACCCACTGAAGGTATTGATGAAATAAATGGTAAAATTCTGATATCGGTTGCTCATTGTATTGCTGAACCCATATCACATTTGATTAATACATCCTTTGTTTCGGGATTATTCCCAAATATGAAGGAATTCCTGTTTATAAAAATAAGGGATCTGCATCTAATATAGAAAATTATCGTTTAATCTGTATATCTAGTCAAATAACTAAAATATTTGAGTCAGCATAACTTATTAGACTCACTAATTACCGTTTTAATATGTTGCCAGATACTCAAAATGGATTTAGAAAAAATAAGTCAACATCTACTGCAATTGCAGCTTGCCTAGAGTTTATATATCAAGCACTCAATGATAAAAAACATATTTTGAAACTCTTCTATGACAGCCGTGCATTTGATATGGTGGATCATAATCTTTTATTATTGAAGATGAATGGGTTAAGAATATGAAGGAAACCTTATGAATGGATATAGTCTTACTTAATAAATCAAACTCAAGTAATTGTAACAAATAGTCTAAAATCTGATCCTCTTCCATGTACAATAGGAGTTCCCCAAGGTTCAATTTTGGGCCCACTTCTTTTTATAGTTTTATAAGTAATATAAATAATTTTTGTT